TCTGGAGCATCTGGTGGGCCAGGCGCATGGAGGTCAACACCTTTGGAGGGAACAGAAATATGATCAGAGGCATTGATCGTAAGAAAGAGGAGAAGAAGCTACAGAACCTGGAAGGGAAGAAGCGAGAGCAGGCAGAAAGGTTGGGCATGGGCTTGGTATCACGAAGGTGAGGCTCAGCTCTGGATGTGGTGGGGAAATGGCATTGTTTCTGAGAACCATGGGGTCTGCCCAGTAGTTTGGGATTTTAGGCGTAGTCTTTCTCCAAGGCTGAATAGATCACTTTGCTTATTGTCTTAAAGCACTAGTATAATGCTTGGCCCATAGTAGGTATGTGTGTATTAAGTATTTGTTGAGTTAATAAAACATAGGATCAGGTGCTGTTTCAGTATATCGGATATAAAGGTGGTGTTTTTTTCTTTGAGACAGAGTCTCACTTTGTTGCCCTGGCTAGAGTGCCATGGCGTCAGCCTAGCTCACAGCAACCTCAAACTCCTGGGCTCGAGCAATCCTTCTGCCTCAGCCTCCTGAGTAGCTGGGACTCTAGGCATGCACCACCATGCCTGGCTAATTTTTTCTATATATTTTTAGCTGTTCAATTAACTTCTTTCTATTTTTGGTAGAGACAGGGTCTTGCTCTTGCGCAGGCTGGTCTTGAACTCCTCAGCTCAAACAATCCACCCACCTCGGCCTCCCAAAGTGCTAGGATTACAGGTGTGAGCCACTGTGCCCGGCCAAGGTGGTGTTTCTTAATGGTACTTTGAGTGGTGGTCTTTTCAAGACTGCCCTGAGAATTGCAGGGCTTTTGGCATCCCTAATCCCTAACAGTTAAATGTTAGTTATGCTACTAAATACTATAATAATACCCCAAAATGCCTCCCACCTCCATTTCAAATGCCTTGAGTTGGGCAGAATCCTTATTTCAGAACCACTGGGTTTATGTTGCTGTGGTTTTCTTAAACAACAAAAACAACGGCTGAAAACAAGCTCTCTGATACATTTTGTTTGAACTAACACTATGAGTTAATAAGAGTAATAGATATTAGTAATAGATTTTCTTGCTCTGTCACCCAGGCTGGAGTGCAGTGGTGTAATATTAGCTCACTGCAGTGTCAAACTCCTGGGCTTAAGCAGTCCTCCTGCCTTAGCCTCCTGAGTAGCTAGGATTATAGGTGTGAACCACTGTGCCTGGCTAGTAATGGTAGATTTTTTTTTTTTTTTTAGACAGAGTCTCGCTTTGTTGCCCAGGCTAGAGTGAGTGCCGTGGCGTCAGCCTACCTCACAGCAACCTCAAACTCCTGGGCTCAAGTGATCCTGCTGCCTCAGCCTCCCGAGTAGCTGGGACTACAAGCATGCACCACCATGCCCAGCTAATTTTTTCTCTATATGTTAGTTGGCCAATTAATTTCTTTCTATTTATAGTAGAGACGGGGGTCTCACTCTTGCTCAGGCTGGTTTCGAACTCCTGACCTCGAGTAATCTGCCCACCTCGGCTTCCCAGCATGCTAGGATTACAGGCGTGAGCCACTGCGCCCGGCCTAGATTTTTGTTCTCTTAAAAAAATTGAATATCTGCCGGGCGTGGTGGCTCATGCCTGTGATCCTAGCACCTTGCGAGGCCAAGGTGGGAGGCTTACTTGAGGCTAGGAGTTCAAGACCAGGCTGAGCAAGAGTGAAACCCTGTCCCTACAAAAAATAGAAAAATTAGTTGGGCATGGTGGCAAGTGTCTTATTCCCAGATATTTGAGAGGCTAAGGCAGCAGGGATTATGGGGTGATGCTAATGCTCACCATTGGGCTTATGCCTGGCTCTGCTTTTTTATACAGCTCTGTTTCCCACTCGGTGCTGTCTGAGATGCAGGTGATTGAGCAGGAAACCCCAGTGAGTGCAAAATCCTCTCGCTCGCAGCTGGACTTGTTTGATGATGTTGGTACTTTCGCCTCTGGACCCCCAAAGTAAGGCTATGGTTGGGGGTAGACTCAGTTACCATGTTCCTCATCAGGCTTCTCTGAGCCACTCTACTGTCTTCCTAGGTACAAGGACAACCCCTTTTCCTTGGGGGAAAGTTTTGGTTCCCGTTGGGATACAGATGCTGCCTGGGGTATGGACAGGGTAGAGGAGAAGGAGCCAGAAGTGACCATCTCAAGCATCCGGCCTATTTCAGAAAGGTAGAGTGGTCTAGGGCAGCACTGTCTAGTAGAACTCTTTGTGATGATAGAAGTCTTCTGTATCTGTGCTCTTGAATATGGTAGCCACTAGGTTTGTGGCAATTGGGCTTTGTAGCCCAAAAAATGTGGCTAGTACAACTGAGGAACTGAATTTCTAATGTAACTTGATATAATTTTAATAAACAAATAGCCGTATGTGGCCAGTGGCTATCCCATTAGTATAGGGATTAGGCTTTGATTTGAGCTGTGCTTTGTCATCACAGGGTCATGGCAGCCTCTTTTGCTTGGGAGCCATTTCTCTGGCAGGAAGGCCCTGATTTTATGCTTCAGTCGTAACCTCCCTCCCAAGGGTTATGTGTCTCTGGCCTCCATCCTACTCATTTTTTTAAAAAAAAACCCATTCTATCTTAGTCTGAGCAATGTTTAGTTTAGATGAATTATCTGTAAATCACCCATTTGGAAAATGGGGACATAAGTAACTATTTCACAGGGTGGCTGGAAGGATTAAATGTAATGACACTTGAAAAACACCTAGTCTGGTGTCTGTGCACCATTAGTGCTAGATAGCGCAGCCCTGTGTACCTTTTCATTTATGCACTGATCCTTTTAAGAGTAAGGGTGGGGGTGTGTGTGTGTTATTACTAGTTATGACAAGAGAGTAGGTATAAACCCAGGCAAACTGAGACATATGGTCACCCTGATGTTAGGCAAGTTGTGACTAGGAGTAGGGCAGCAATAGTGACGATATGGCCTCCGGACCTTGATAAAGCTGTAGTGGTTAGGGAAGGGGCTAGGCTCCTCCAGACCCTATTCCCATGCTGTCTGGTGTTGGTAACTTGGCTCTCTGTGCCTTGGCTTCAGTGTGGAGAAAAGCAGAGCCTCATAGGATCCCTTTGGAGGCTTCTCACCGGGAAGAGGGTCCCTGAGTCCCAGAGCCACAGACAGAATGGGGCCTGGAAACTGCCATCTCCAGAAGGCCACTGGTGCTTTTTTTGGCCTCTGTACTCTGCTTCCCCTGATGGTAATGGGAGGGGTCAGAGATGTTCCATGTCTGCCCTTCAGAGCCACAAACCGGAGGGAAGTGGAAGGCCGGACCTCAGGCCTCGAGTCCAGTGAGGCACGGCAGAAATTTGCAGGAGCCAAAGCCATCTCCTCTGGGACATGTCCTTGGCGGCGAGGTAGGATGTTGAGTAAGTGGAAGGGTTGTCTACCTTCTCGAGTGCTGGAGGCAGCAGGGTAGAAGTGAGAGTTTCTCTCCTTCCAACCACTTTGGAGCTTGGCCCCAGGTGCTTGGCTCTCGTGAGTCTTATGGAGTTAATTGGCCAAGCCATATCCTCCAGGCCTTGTCTCTTCCTCACCACAGTATTGAAGCCAGTTCTCGGCTACAGCAGCTCTCAGGAGCAGGCGCCATCAAGCTCTTCAACTCTTTTGGGGACCATAGGATGTAGCTCATGGAGCAGGTAGGCCCCAGTGGGGGAGACCACACCATGCCTGTGAACAGAGTGGGAGGCCCCTGCCGGGCTCTGGGTCACCCTTTCCCTTGCTTTTACAGGAAGTGTATCTCTGGGAATGTTGCTCCCGACAGCTGACACTGCCCAGTTAAGCAGGTGTCGAAGCTCTGTGGCTCGGAAAAATGTCTGTGCGCAAGCCAATGGTGTGAGAATTCGCTGCAGTGAAGCTGGGCCCACCTTAACTGTGGCGGAGGCCACCGCGTACGTGCTGGGGTCCTTCACCACTTTTAAACACTGCTCATGGGTAGCTTCTCTCAGAGCATTTTCTTTTCTTAGAGGTTCAGATTCCTTCCTTTCAGTTCTGTACCAGGACTGGGCCTCTCTCTAAGATGATGCCATGTCTGCACTGATTCCTCTGTCTTGCAGCTCGTACATTTTCTTTCCCTGCCATTTCTGCATCTCGGTAGTGCTTCCTCCTCAGTTGGGCCTAAGTGCCAACTGCCCCAGCTCTCCTGTGTACTTCCACCTTGCAGTGGTGCCCAGCCCCTATGGTCCGACCCGTCTTGCTGTGGGGGTATGTGGGGAGAGGCAGTGTGCATGCAGGGAAGCTGCTGCAGGTTAGGGACTCTGACTTCATTTTTTCTCTCCCCATCCCCAGGATCGCTACGGTTCCTACTGATGCAAGCTCCACCGATGGCTCAGTTGACGTATGGGTGACAGTCAGCCAGAAGCCCATGATTCCCAGGCAGGAGCTTGCCTTGTGGAAGCCAGGGGAGATTTGTTTACTTGCTGTGTGGTGTGTGAGTCGCGCGTCAAAGGCCTTAGAAAGGATCTATGAAAGAACCAAGGCAGAGATAGGGAATATGGATCTAAGTACCAGCTTCCTCTGCCTATGGATTAAGCCTTGTTCTTACCCTCACACCCACCCTCCTCTGATGTGCGTAGGAATTATTGTCCTTAATCAATGCCGCACAATAGCTGCTGCTGCAACTTTGTCCTGCACGACGGAGTATTCTCTTGGATGGCTTAATTCTAGTCCAGTCCTTCCCCAATAAGAAAGGGGCAAAAGTTGTATAGTGTGTTTGCAGGGCTCAGATCCATCCATGTAGTCTGAAGGCTTGGGCCATCTGAAACCCTGGACCAGGGGAAGGGGACCTAGAAAGATAGTGCTACTGATAGAACCAGTCCCCCAGGGAGGAGAGAGGCTCTAGAACTGCGGACGTGGTAGGCATCTTCGTACCAGAGAGGGGAGGGATGATGGAAGGATCTTCATCTGGGCCTTACCAAGGGCTAGAAACTTTCCTGACGAAGTACTAAAGTTTCAGTGGGAGGGGCAGACTGAACCTGAAGTGCTCCCTGTGTCACCACCCTTATTATCAGTAAAATCACACTGGAAGGGTTACTTCTCCTAGGTGCTCAAGAGACATTCCAGTGGAACCAATCGGACTGTGGAACTTCTGTCCCCTCCTGGAACATTTCCCCTGTTCCTATATCCCCTGGATCAGGTAAGCCATGGTGGATCTCCATCTGCCGATAGCCGAACTCGATGCTGGAGGTACATAATACTGGCCAAGGAAGCAGATGGACGGAAATGAGAAAGCAGGCTCCATGGGCTCAAGCTTTT